CTATACAGAAAAATCAACTGAAAATGGATTAAAATGTATGACCCGAAACCATAAAACTCCTAGAAGAAAATATAGGGAAAAAACTCCTTGACATTGGTCTTGGCACTGACTTTCGGATATGACATCAAAAGCACAGGCAACAAAAGTGAAAACAAACGAGTGGGACAACATCAAATTAAAAAGCTTCTGCACAGCAAAGGAAACAATCAACTAAATGAAAAAGCAACTGTAGAATGGAACATATATTTGCTGGTGACTTATGCCACCTCCACTGTTCTTTCTCCCCAATCTTTTTGATTGTCCCCAATCTCCATATGTCTGCCTCTTTCTTCCCCTATCTCTGCTCCCCCGCTGCTCTCCCTGTTATGTTCCCCTTTTCCTTCTTACATCTCCCTTGTCCCCACTCTCTAGCACTCCCGGCTTCCTATGTTTCCTCCCTGCTGTTTCTCCCTCTGGTCTCCAAGTCACCCACTGCCCCCTCTTTCGATCCCAGCACGACCCTGCCTGTCTGCCATGGCTCCAACTCTTTTTACCTTCTCCCCTCACTGTTTGCAGTGCCTCCCCCTTTGTTGCTCCCTCTCCTACAGCCCATCAAGTGCCTCTAGTCCTGTTTTCCACCATTTCATCTCCCTGGAGATTCCCTTTTTCTCTCACTCTTGCTGCCCTTTTGCAAGTCCCTAAATCATCGTCCACTTTGCCATGTATTTATGGTTCTCCCTCATGCTTTTCTCCTTAGCTTTTCTATTCCTGCTCCGTCACTCCGCGTCTTTCTCCTGATCCCTCTCACTCGCACATTCAGAAGGAGGGAGACGGAATAAGATGCCCACCTCCCTGAAAGGCACATTTTCCAGTGGGGTTGAGTGTGGGACGGAAGAACGCTGGGTATCACACTCAGGTCGCCTCCCCCAACGCAGGGTCAGGGAAAGCGGTGACTGTGAAGGGGAAGCCTGGAGAGAGAAGGGGCCCGGCAGAGGAGGACACGAGGTGGCGGGGAGATGGTGTATCAGGAGACAGACTGTCTGCTGAATCCCAGAACCTGGGAGAGGAAGTGGCTGCTTCCGGAGCAGGGCGGCGAGAGCTGCTGTCCAGGGGCCAGGAGGGCAAAGCTTGGGAGTCGCGAAGAGCGTGAAGCCACCTGGCGGGTGAGGACCTGACACGCACCGGGCGGGGGGAAAGATCAGTAAGGGTTTTAAGCAAGGAAACGACCTGAATGGCGGTGTCTACATGGTCCTAAGGCAGAAAAGCCGGGAGCAGGGACCAGACTCAGATTTCCAACCGAAAGGGAAGCAATTCCCAGACTTACTTGGGGTGAAGGGGGTGTTGCGGATATTTTAAGGTCAGTAGAGATCCCCAGATCCCGGGAATGGTGAACCAAAGACCGCGAAGCGACGGTTTAATTTAGATAGAGGGAAACTCATGCGCAGCAGTACGACCTCTCCGGCGACCCACTTCCGGGTGTGCAGGAAACTCCTCGGGCGGAGGGAAAAGACAGGGAGGCCTGTGGGCGGGGCCTGGGAGGGGCGCGACCGGCAAGGGGCGGGGCGGGAAGAGAGGGCGGACTTGGGGCGGGGCCACTCGGGCTGGGGCGGAGGGTGAGGGCCGGGACAGGGCTTGTGCCTCTCACCCAGCACGTCCCTGTTTTTTGTGTTTGGTAATATTTGGGTTTATTGCCTGTCCTGTAGAGCAGCCTTGCTTCTTGCCTATTTTAAGCTAATGTTTCAAAACTGAAGGTGAAAGTTTAAAGTTGTGGTCTACTTATATTGGAACTAAGATATTTTCTTAAGTTGAAACATTTTAAGTCAAAAGCTATTTTTGCGAGCCTGTTGCACTGGAGTCCTGCCAGCGAGGCTAAAGCTACTCAGCGGTCAGGGAACTGGGATCTATGTGGGGCTATGGCTGGATCCAGAAACCTGGAAGACATTACGCCAAGAGAAATATGCAAGAAACAAAAAGACAAATACTGCATGATCTCGCTTATATGTGCAATGTAAAAAAGTCAAACTCATAGTAACAGACAGTAGAAGGGTGGTTACCAGGGGTGGGGGTGGAGAGAATGAGGAAGGGTTGGTCAAAGGGTATAAAGCTGCGGTTTTAAGGTGAACAAATTCTGGGCGGGGCATGGTGGCTCACGCCTGTAATCC